AAAAATGCACGTTTCTTCACTTTGATTATTTTGACGAGAGCGCGATTCCACCACGCTGCCTCACATATTGTTTTGCAATGTTTTGTTTTGTTTTTCTTGGACGGGAGGTGACTCTACTGTAAAATTGTCAAATGTGCATATACTGTGCTTTCTAAAATGATGGCAGAATTGATGGACGACAGCTAACATCTCGTGCATGGGCGCCACCGAGATTTTTTCATCATGGAAGGATATTGGCTAAAACTGATTCGACACACGACCTTGAAAAGCAATGGCGTTTGATTTTGAAAGTCAAAGTTGATTTTAGTGGAATTATGTCGAGTGTGCCAAAATGGTGGCTTTTGCTCAATCAAAGAGAGAAAAATCTGAATTTGATCGGCAGTGTGCATTGGGTATAAGTATCCAGCCAATAATTGGGGAAGTGCAGAGAATTCTTAAACCAATCAAAGTTAAAGAATCGCCATACCATCGATTCCAACTGCAGTTGACTGGGGGTGGGGGGGGGGGGGTGGGGAGGGGGCTCTCGTGGCCTAGAGGTTAAGGTGTTGGCCTCTCATTCAAAGATCCCGGGTTCGAATCCGGGTAGCAACGGAAAAATTTTCTTCTCTAAATTTGTCTCCTTTCACCTCATTTCCTGCTCTCTAGCAATATTCTGTCGTCTGCTTTCATCTCCTCTTTCTGCCCCCATTCCCTCATCTCCTTTGACCCCCTCCTCTGGGCTCCTGATTCTTTCTACAGCCTTTCTACTGCTACTCCTTTGCTTCTTCTTACTGCTGTCTTTCAGCCACATCCCTGATCTTCTAGTAGGAAAGATCTACACCTTGCCTTCTCGGACAAGGACGAAAAATTTCGGAGGGCACGTTAAAGATCTCTTGGTGGTCCAGAAGCGATAAGAGTAGGCTTCGGCCGCCACCCGGGGAAAATTGAAAATTTCCTACCAACTGAAAAAGTTTAATGTGTCCCGCGCGCTCATATGACCTTATGCAGTTGCGAGCGCCGTAAAACACTTACAAAAACAAAACAAAGTTAACTGGGCTGAGACCAGAACACTCACATCTAAA